TTAACGAGTGATAAGCTGGGACCTACGCAGGTGATGCTTTTGATAGACAGACTAGTAGTATTATCAATCAGTCGTTTTCGGCGGACGTCTACGAGTAAATCATGATGATTAAGTAGGTCTGTGCCGATGATGGACATTGTGACGTCAGCGTGAACGAAAATCGACCGAATAGGTTTGCGTAAACCTACGTTCAGATAGACGTATTTCCTACCAAAAGCTGCAATAGGTTTTCCATTTGCAGCATGTAAGTTGAAGGTAGGTTCCTTTCGTCGATCTGCTGCTGTGGCAGGAAGGGCGCTGATTACGGCGCCTGTGTCGACTAAGTATCGGGTCTGGGTAACCGTATCACGAATGTAAAGCAGGCGGCCAGTGACACCGGCGACGGTTGCCGATAACACGTGTCGGCAGAATAGTTTCCTACAGTCTTTGAGGCACTGCCGAAATTACAAGTTTTTCGACAACATTTCGCTTCCTGGCCATGGGTGTTGTGATACCCGCACCAATGAGGGCAATCTAGTCAACTTTGCTTGGACCTAGATCGAACACCTCAGATTCCCCGTTGAGGGGATTGAGGAGGACGCCCGGAGGAGTTAGAAGTCATGTTTAACATAAACATCTGCTCGATGGATTTGCATAATTCTATCACTGTTCCTCGTTGGCACAGTTGTTAGGATTCTCGCCGACCATGTACATGGTTCATGGTTCGATCCTCTTCCGACGCACACCTGATATGTATGTTCGGCCTGCAAAATTTGGGCTAACGATATCCGTGCTGAAAATTCCATAGTTGGACGAAAATAGAGTGTGGAAGCAAGCTGTAGATAAAAAATCAAAAGTCTGTTTGGCCACCGAGCATATTTCAGGAACTGGCCATTTAGCTATTTCTAGAATCTTACCTGCAGAAATAGCTAATTCATCTATAATAACACCCTGAAGTGTCACACGTACGGTCTGCACGGACTTTGGCAGCTTGGATAAGAATTCTCTAAAAAGCCCTTCATCCAACTGACTTTGGCCAATAACCTGTCTCATTTTTGTCAGCATGCTCACGGCTGACTGATCCCCTGACTCGGTGTTACGAAATAATTCGTCCAGACGTTGTCGATCCGTGAGAACCTTTCTCCTGAGGAGGGATGATTTGAGCAATATGTACGAGTTACTTACCTCGGGACTAGACATCTGCAAAGTTACGCACTTGCTGAATTTTCGCGGTAGGGCATGAATAACTGCGAGGAACTGTGAACGTTGATCGGTTACCCCATGCTCACAAAAATCTGATTCAGCATTATCTGGCCAGTATGGTACGAGCTGAATGGTTTTAGGAGTTGAGCGAATACGAATGACCTTGGGACTAGGATCATTCATGACGAAAAGTATGTCGAATAAAATATAGTACAAGAACGAATAGAAAAAGGAACGAACTCACCGAAGTTACTTGCGTATTTATCTAAGATGAAGTTCGCGGTTGGGCTCACCAGTTTAGAGGCTGGTGTTATAGACGTTCGCGAACAGAACTGAGTATATTAACGCAAGATCTCATACCAACGACTATCGTATTTGATTCTCGCGTACCAAAGGCAAAGCAAAACACAACAATTGATTGTCCAAATTACGAGATATGTTTCGAAACCGAATCTCTGATTGAAGCAGAAACTAAGCTAGCTACTTATCGTGCACGAAAGTGACACGACGGAGTACCAAATGGCGGGGATGCTTGACGGGAAGCCTTCAGCTAAATAAGTCGACTCTAAGGGTCAGCATCCAATCTTCACTGATGATTCTTATAGTCACGATGTAATTCTTCTCTTAGACATAATCTATTCCTACGGTCAATAATTTTGGGGAATTATTTACGTCTACAAGTGTAACGCGAATGCAAAACGTTCATTCTAAAAAGACTGACCCTTCCCCTACAGAGTTTGAAGGTCGTTTAAACCACTAAAATCTTCCAGAGATCCACAATGACTACGAATGGCCAGTAAGAGAGCCATGAAATCACAACAATTATATGACCTAATCATGAAAATACTGGATAACTTAACACTTCCAGCCGCCAATTCTAGTTTTGACGCTGCGTTTCGCGTATGAGCTCTGGTACGTTTAGCCTATTGTTTACTGAGTTTCGCAGGAACTAAGTCCTTGAAAAGGAAACCTGATGAACCTGTTAGTGATCAGGCTGCAAATAAACCAACCGAAAATACAAAAGGGGTTTCGAAACGTCCCTTGTCTATAAGTCCCATCAAACTAAACATACCTGCACAGGTTGGGTAGTCTTAGTAATATCGTGTAGATTGCCTCCTCAGGAACCTCTGCCGGAAATACCAAAACGTGTGAATAGCAAACTTCGAGAAATCTTCAATTCAGATGAAGAAGTGAGTTTGTTAGATGCCATAGCATACACGTCTTCAGAGTGAAGAAGAGGAAATTCCGACGGAAGCCAGAATACGGATGCGAAATTTAGGAAGGTAATTTTGTTCGTGAGTTCTCTGTATCCGCCTGTTTAGTAGGCGAATCTTAGTACTTGTCATTAATAGGTGACGAAATATTTTGTACTAGTTCAGCAGCTGTTATAGGCGTTGATTAAGTCTACAGAGTGCTAGGTATGAAAACCGTTTCCGATGCTTCATCCAAATTCAGTGGAGAAGTATAGTTGAACCGTTAAGCTAATCATATTCGGAACAGGTCTTGTCGTTTTATAAAACACTAACTGCCAGCTTGAGACATATAATTATATAAACAGCTTATAAGCTGTTTATTTGAAGTTTTTAGGATATTGAGCATTAGTACTTGGTTATATTAGGCACTGACGACTATGATATTTCGGTCACTAGTGTTTCTGTGTGTGTAATAAATCCCCCAATTTATCTGGGGTAACGGGTCGATTTTCATGACATTCTTCATCCACTTGGCGGACAACAACAGTGCCACCACATAAATACAGATAATTGTTGACTCCTTTATGTATTATGTCCAGAGATAATGCATTTTTAAAAACGAACCGACAGATTATTCGACAAAGTATCTTGTTTTTTCCGGCTTAATCGTTGCATTTTTTCACTATTAGTACAACGGTTATAATGATTGGACCATTAAAATGAAACTGTTTATACGGTACCTGCCGCTAGTGCACGTTGCCTGCTTCTACGCAAGTTTGAAAACGTGAAATTGTTTATCGACGTTCTTATGCTTCTTGCTTAGCAAGGGATAGTTTGGCAGTCTGCACATATGAAATGAAAGGTTTCCCCGTTGTGGATAGACTTAATCCCTAAACTTCTTTATCGGCTACCAGCAAGCTTTTCAAAGTAATAAATGGCATCAGCGCTCAAGGAAATACTGAGTGAACTTCATAGATGGTGATCCTAAGCTGATCATATTTATACTGTATATGTAACATTATCTTGACAAGGTTCAGTTACTAGTTTGTAACATGAATTTGACCGGAAGATCTGTGATTATAAGGTCCTACCCTACAGTCACTGATTTCACAAATTGGTTGTGTCCCGGTTCGACTAGACTAAACTCTGCTTTGCGATCATCATGAAGAAGGCGGGCAACTCGGGATGATTGGACTACTCGATAAAGATATTTAACTTTCGTGACTGACTACTTTATTTACGAAACACAGTACATCTGTTACTACCATTATTCACTCTGTATTTCCTTCACATATAAGCAATCGTAAACGTCAAATCAGACTATCGGTCACAGGACGTATGTACCACACAGCAGTCCACTTCCACTGTTTTTGAAATATGGCCGTTAAAATTGGAAGACCAGGGGGGTTACCTCTCTTGGGTTACGAATGTTCGCGTTTTTCCTCTGTGCTAGATGGCACCATGTGTTGAGAAATATCGAGTTTAGGTGTTGCGAGAAAGTCAGTCGACCAAGTCGAAAAGCTACATCGACCAAGGTGGCTAGAACAGATGTCACGGCCACTGCCTTTCTCAACGAGTAATGCTAGTTGACATAAGATCAAGTTGGAAAATAGTCAGTTGTGGTCAAAACAAAACTTGTCACTGTCTTATGAATTCCTTTGGCAACTGGTTTGAGCGCTGTAAAGAAGTGTAGACTGCTTGGTTGGAATCCTAGAAACACCAAGGGCTAATATTTTACTCAAATTCTTACTCAATAGTGCACGTGCACTGTGAATCTCTAGATCCGTCATGTTCCAATTTACTTCTTTCTCCCGTATGTTTGTATTTTTGCCTGTGGCCCTACGGAAGGTGGCACCCTCGTGCAAAGTTCTACAGTCGTATGAAGATACTCATGACTTATATTCCATCTCTAGGACCTATGTTTTATAACTGTAAAATAGGATAGAATGCATCGACCCTTCCGATAGATATTTTGCCAAGCCGTAGGACTAAGTTAGCAAATGCTACATAAGCTTTCTGTTTTTATCTAGAAATCTTATAAATAGGGTTGGCGACAAGGTTCTGAGCTACATCTTGCATTTGACAAATGCGGGGGAAATGTTAAACATGCCTATTTTCAGTCGAGATGTTGAAATCTATATACTTAACTGAATGAAAGTAAGGTAGGTCCTTTCTAAATGGAAAGCAAGAGTCACCTTGACTTGAACACTTGCAGCCTGAATAACTGCATCTAGTTTCGGAATCATTTATGCGCATGATGATGGCAGCGGAACGCTGTTTTACGGACGAGCTAAACATATATACATAACTCTTTTTAGATACACTCCAACTTCTTGTGGACCGAATTCTTTCGGAAAAGGGAGGTTTGGTTTCGTTGATCGAAGGGCATTGCTTGACAGACAAACAGAAGCACTAAATGCAGCCGTTTCAGAGGACAATAATCGCTGAAAACCCTTATTCTCAAATAATTTCACAAGGCTAATGACGACACATAACTAACAATGCCACTTTGTTGTTCGAGTTTAACATCTCTTTAATATTACTGTATAAAAGAAAACAAAACAAAGACGTAATTGTAATTATGTTGTTTAATTTTGATTATTCTTTTTTTCTTGTTTGAAGTTATTACATATTTACTGATTTCACTGCAAACTTCTTTTCTGTATTTTGCTGGTGGTGACTTAGTATGGCTAAAAGGAGGGCAGCTGAAACGCGCGAATTTAGGTCAGCGTTCTCTACGTCATGGTAGGATGGAACATCTCCCCACCGATTAACCTGAAAGGTAATAGGAATACTCACGTCCTTTAGTTGGGTGTAATTTAGATTAATAGAAAACATTTGTTATAGTCATTACTTCAAAGAAATGCTAGTGGAACTCGTAATCGCAATGACGCAATTAGCGTACTTAGTATCACAGAGAAAGGTTTATACAAATAAGAGAGGGACTTAGTTAATTGCTCCTTTTCAAGACAAAGTCGTATATCGGTAAAAAGAAGTATTACGGGCAACTACATTTTTATATAGATGTGAAACCTTCGAAAGTAACTTGGAAGAAATGTTGTAACTGCTTTTACCACAACAATAACACATTATCTTGAAATGTATTCTTTTTCACAACTTCCTTCAAGTGCAATAAGATTTTCCCATAGCACTTATTTGTCCAAACATAGCGAGACATTTGATCTTTATTCAACTACAAATCACAGGAGTGACTTCCCTGAATCGCCTTACACAATGCAAGTAAATACACTAGGCTGTGTTCCACTGACAATAACTTACAAAAGTCTGGCAATAACCTGTAGTATTAATAAAGAATTCAACTGACAAACTAATGCAGAATATCATACACGAGTGCATCACTTCTACTGACTACTCAAGCTCGTCGTAAAGGGTACTTCGAAGTAAGAAGAAATATTACAAAAATATCTATGAAAAGCAGTACATCATTATAAGGTGAATCTTAAGTTGCCACTACTACATGTTAGAATTTGAGTGCCGTCCTTTGGATACAGTGAACCATTGACTGTCTAGATCAGTATCTGGTATCTTCATTGAAAAGACGTTTTTGAAACAATGGTGTAACACATGTAGATACAACTGGTAAGTAGATAATAACAAGCTACATTACGCGTAACTAGTAGCATTTTTTCTACCAATAGATAATAAGATGGTACACTGAAACCTTTATGAATAAATTTCAAACACTGATAAAGATATGTACCTTTATTCCATTTACAAGACTGAATTAATCAGCTTGGAGACTAGTCATGGTCACCGCCTACGAATTTTCGGATTAAACAGTACATATACTAAACCACAATTATTAAAGGGACCAAAACAGTAGAAATTGAGCATTGATGAATTAAACTGACCTGAAATAACATTTCTATCTGACTTAATTCCACAGCTTTCGCAGCAGAACAATATCCATCCAACATAGCCAATGTAAGGTATACTGATTTTAAGTTTTCGACACATGACTTAATACCTGCATTACGAAAGACGAAAAGAATACACTGTGATCATGACTCTAAAATATATTCTGTCAAAAACCAGCAACAGCGATTAAAAGCTATTAAATGTTGGATAGTTTTCTGTACTGGGTTTTGGACTCTTCAGCTTTGATCAGTCATGGATTAACAACGGATTGTGCTTAAAACTACTAAACTTTGAAGTTACAACATCAACCGTCTACCCCTCTAATACAGAAGTTCACCATTTGCACAAATGTGCCTCCTTGAAAGGTCCCAATTTGTATTTTTCGACCATCCATATTTGTTAATCTAACATTATTGAAAAGATCGGCACTTTAGACCAATAACAATGCAGTACCCTGATTGCGCGACCTTATGACTGCATAAGTCGTAATGTTCGAATAACATAGTGATCATATATGTATATCTCATTGATCATCCGATCAGGCTAAGAGATGATGCAGATTTATTGAAAAATCAAATATTTTAGTGGAACACCGGAGACGTCTCTATATCTTTCACTTACAATAACTGTTTCATCACTGTAGCACAGTACTATTATAATAGTAGTATGCACATTGATAGAAACCAAGTAAACATCGTCCAAGGAACACATTACGATAGTGGGTATTCTTTTGAAATAATTTAGAAACCCATAATAATAAAGGTTTTTTGTATTTCCCAATGAATGAAAAACAAAACGATATTGTTTTTACTGACGTTTCGCTATTTAATGCTAATAGCTTTATCAAAGTATTATAATATAATAATTTAGAAACTAATGAAAAATAAGACTAAAAACAAACCTGTCAATCCCCAAATATTATAACTTCCAAAATGACGAACCAATTTAGCCTTATCCTCAGAAGATAATTTAGCGAACGACGTCATGCTGTTAGTAAGTACAGGACTGATTTGATAATGTTTGCCAATCCAGTTAATTATAGGATCCCAGGCAGCAGATTGTATAGTGACCAGGTCATCTGGCTCTTGACATCTAAAACTGATAAACAAAAGTGTTATGTACTCGTCGCTAAATTGTTATTATGGTCTGGTCGAGAAACTAATAGTCCTGACGCGAGAAGGCGGAAATCAGAAGACCAGTAGGTTTGCGATGATACTTCTGTTGTCCAAACACAAGGAGACGAAAATAAAATGGTCTCACACCAAAGTGGTAAGTAAGTAAAGTAAAGTCACAAGATTGTGAATGCGAAATATATATGAATGTTCCAGACAAAGCGTGGGAACAAATCATTAGACAGTCTTAACATGAATGGCTAATTATAATGGAGTGTCGATCCAAATATACATAGCGAATATAGCAGACATGTCAATAACCATATATGGATATATGTTACCAAGCAACGGACTGTCAACAAACACTCATATTATATATAATATAATATAAGGAGAATACACATTGTTAAAGGAGACAAGTTCATACCAGTGAAATGGTCACAGACAAACAGAAAGAGAGACCAACATACACACACATAAATATATATATGTGGATACATATCAAAAAGGTAATACGCAAAGCAGTTATAAGAAGTATTAAGCACACTCACAGTTTTGGACAATACATAATTGTCATGCCTGGGGTAGTCGGGACCTAAACATCTACGCCCGCATTAGATGACAAAATGGAACTTGGTAAAGGCATAAGATTCTTCAAGTTTGCAGATACATTGACCTGATGAGTGCCAATAAACGCAGAAACCATGTTTCGGCATTTCCACTCAATACTATTGACATCGAACGAGCTCGCCTTGTAACCAGAAGGTCCTGGGTTCGAATCCCGGTGGGTGCGTACTGCTGAGGAGTCCCAAACTAGGACGAAACGGCTGTCCAGTACTCCCAGGTTTTCCAGTGGTTCTCTAACTGATGTCAGCTCATGATTAAATCCTCCATGCAATCAAACAAAATCCCTACAAAAACCAATACTTGAAAATCGAATATATGTCACAGTATTGTATTCCTTGACTTAATGACCATCCTGCACACTTGGTCGATGGGTTCCAACTGGCTCAGTTGGAATCAGACAGCTAAATTAAGTACCACTACTAACCCATTTATTTACACTGATATGTCCGTAAATCTTAATGGGTGTTATCCATATACTTAACAAACGATATAGCTTGTAGAATCCTGAAGTCTGACAAATAATATTCCGGAACTGAAAACCAGATTCTGACAGCAAGCACCACATTCTAATTTTTTATATAAAGGACGAGTGCAATTTTGGATAAAGACAACGGTAAGCATATTTTAGGAACAAACAGCAGCCTAAATACAAGTACTTTTTTGTGAAACCATTAGTTAATGCGAATAAATGTCGAAGTAGGGAGAATTACTGATCATTTACATTTAGGAGAATTTCAAAGCTTATTTTAAGGAGGTGAATAAAGGATACTTAAAGAGGAGGTGGACAAAAAGACAGACTAAAGCAGAGCTTTGAAAGGTAATTCATCAATTCAGAAAACTACTATTTTAAAATCACAGGGAAAAAGAAATTGAAGCAAAGGAAAACTAACGTAAAGATAAATAATCCAATAAAACATATGAAGACAGAGGCTGCGATGTAGATATCCCACCTAAGTTAGTGAGTGATTTAAAACAAAATCGTAGGTCAAGTAAACGCCGACGTATTTTAGCTCAGGTGGATGCTTTTCATGTGGTTGTGTTTGCTGAGCCGGCTACTTTAATTGAGAAGATAGGATTTAGTCTCGCAGCGCTGAGTCCCAGACGTTAAAAGGATTTTAGTGTTATTTCGATTGTCAGTGGTTTCAGCCAGCAGTCTTGTAAATGAGTGATTTGTAATTATTCACTTAGTGTGCATTCTAGCTAGATTTTGTAGTTCATTTGGCGAAGACGCTGACGAAATGCAGAGTCTTCTAAACACCTTGAGCCGCAATCTACGAATGTTTGGCATGCGATTCGCTCCCGCCAAATGCAAGATGATGTTACAGGACTGGACTACATCGACGCCTAGTTTAAAAATAGGAAGTGAAGTGGTAGAGCACGTTGACCGCTTCACTTATTTGGGAAGTACCATCAGCCCCAACGGGCTGATCTCTGACGAAATCTCAGCACGAATACAAGGGGCTCGTTTCGCATTTGCCAGTTTACGCCGACTCTGGCGTAGACGAGATGTTCGACTATCGACCAAAGGGCGGGTGTACTGCTCATCAGTCCGCTCCGTCCTCCTTTATGGTTGTGAGACCTGGCCACTGAGAGTGGAAGACATGAAAAGACTAGCTGTGTTTGATCATAGGTGCCTGCGTTCTATTTCCCGTGTAAAGTGGCATAATAAGGTGAGCAACATGGAGGTTAGGCGTCGAGTTCTAGGTAAACAGGGGAAATCAATCGACGAAGTCGTGAAGCTACAAAGACTGAGATGTTTAGGACATGTGTTACGTATGCCAAGCCATCGCCTCCCTCGACGAGCAATGTTAGCGGATATAGGGTCAGGCTGGAAAAAAGCTAGCGGCGGTCAAACAAAAACTTGGCATCAGTCAATGAAATCCACAACAGTTGGTCTAAGCCACGTAGAAAGGTGTAGACTTCCAGGCTGGGGTCCTCGGGACGGTAAAAATCTATGGTTGGAAACAATTGGTGACATGGCTCAAAACCGTTCTCAGTGGCGCAGATGCATCCACTCCCTGTGACTTATGATCTTCAATGAAACTGTTTTGTATTTCTTTATTACTCCTTTGTCTCACACCTCTGCTCACTGTTTCTATTATGCTTTTCTTGTACTTTCTTCTCTTGCTTCGCGTGCTACACGGAATGTGGCGACTTGAACTTCCGCACATTTGTGCAAAGTTCTATGTCGAAAACAGACAGACAGATTTGGCACAGCACCAGATCGGTTGTTCGATAGAATGCCATCAATGTAAGGCATGAATTTCTAATTCACTCATCCTCCCTATCTCATTTATTACCGAACATCTTAATTTAGCTGCTCAAAAATCCTTAGCTGGATAAGAAAGTACCAAATTACCTCATAAATGCAACTAAGGTATTTACCATATGGTATCTGTGTCAGCATACTGCATGATTGCACCAACCAAAACATCATGTTCATCATCTGGAGTGTCCAATGCTCGATTGCATAGTGTTGTCTATGAAGTAAAAGATGTTTTCAATTAGAAAAAATATAAAAATGAATCAATAGAAATTAATGGTTTAAAGAATATTCAGGCGAGAGAAACAAAAAAAACTTCTGGCCTAGCAATGATAATTAGGTGTTAAAATGTAATATGACGGAAAGCTGATATAACTTAGTCCTATTACGAAATTATATTCCAACAAAGTGGTTAAGTTATATTTCTACATTTAAGCTTCAACGGACAAGCAGTTTCTTGACACTTCAGAAGATCGACGTATACCTTTATACAGTACTATATGTGGATTTATACATCGTTATTACGATATGCAAAATTACAGTTCGCTTATTACATTTCAATGTCATGCTGAGGAGTTCTATGTAGTAATTTGATATACAAAAGTTATGGCGACTCTGCGAAACACCGTTAACATGCATTACAAGTAATCACAGAGAAATCGCGGAAAAAATTTACAAACAAGCTAGCTGATACATTGTTTTCAAACAAACAAAATATTAAAATGCAATTTGGATAGTTAAATCTACATAACTTGATCAGAACATTGAGGCGCGGTCTTTGTGAAGGAAGACCTTAATGTCAAATACGAAAAGACGTAAATATCACGAATGCCATCAAAACAACTACATCGATCCGGTCAGTTCTAATCTTTTATGGGAGGCCATCTAGTCTCCTGGTAATTCCAGACTTGTCTGTAACTGATGAGCAGCTAACTTAGCGTAAAGCGTTTCCATCAACTGGTTTTAACTATTTAACAATATCAACATGGTTTTAAAAAAGGAACGCTGAGGTTACGGAGCGCTTACAATAGAATTTTGTACAGAAAGGTAAAACAAGTTTGAATTAGGCAATCAACAATCATCAAACACTTTTAGGCGCAGCTTACAGTATATACAAATCTGTATTTTTATTGACTACTAATCTAGAATATTCTATTTATATAAACATATATAATTGTAGAGCCATAAGAGGAATTTTTCGAAAAGGATATTCTTTGCTCAATCATTTTGTTTCATAGTTGTCTGAATGAATATTTTCGCCATAATGAAATCTGTAACAAGTAATCGGAATATTCTGAAGGCTAAAATATTTTATTCTCTGCAAAATTATGCCAGCACTAAGGAGTCAGTTAAAATTTTAGTTCGAAACTCAACTCTTATCCCAATACAGTCAGCAGTGAAGACAGTTTACATAATTAAAAATCAATTTACTGTAAGTAGCTAAATCTCCCGTTTAGAAAATTGTAAACATATAACCGTAGAATTTATATTCCGTAATAATTACTATACACTGAACCTACTAAAGGCATTGTATATCGTTTTATTGTATCCTTCTGACTGTCCCATTCGTGTGCGACAGCAACAGCCAAGGCTTGATTTGGTACTTGAAAATAACGACCAGTAGGAGTTCGAAGTTTACGATTATCAAGAAGGATTTCAAAAGTAGGATACTGATTACCTAGAAGAAACAAAAAAATTTCTCCGATATTAAAACACAACCACTGAAACATGCTTGCCAACCAAAATGTCTGAATGGAAAGGATGAAAATGGAATATCATAGTGAAATAAAGAGTGGAAATGCAATCCAGTAGCGAACAATAGCATTCGCCAGTAGGCTTGGAAACATGTTGACTGTCCTACTTATTTTGGAATTCGCACATATCCCGATGGAATATCACGACAGCTACAAGAGACCTGTTGAGCATTTTTTAAATCACTCACCCTTCGCATCAAGGAGGAATTAGGCTACTAACCAACATTTCTGGTTTGCGTCTGTGAGAGCATCAAAATTTACATTCTTAACCATAGTTATCACTCTTCGATTGCTCAGTTTAGGTGTAATACGGTAGAAAGTTTTGAGGCTAAACATAGTGTTAGGCAAAGATAATTCAGTCTTTCTCAAAATACATAGCTGGAGCTGTCACACAATGTACTCCACTTCCTTCGTGGAAGAACAGTGTTAATTGAAGTAAGATCATGTTAATGAAGAGTCAAGTGTTGTCACTTTGAAATACGGGATCAGTTTATGAAGTCTCTGGTTTTTGAACCACTTAGAATAGTACACACTGCCAGCTTAAGTTGCTGAGATATTAAGATTTGGTGATCGAAGATTCATGGTGGAATATCTTATAATTATTCACAACAGCGTAAATAATTTCCCCCCTTATTACCATTGAAATTTTAAGAAGATTCATAGATTCCACTCCTCAAAACATGTTTGAACACTATAGTATCATTCACTGCCTGAATTCAATTGGTGGATGGTGACTAGTACTGGAATCCAGCATGCGCATTTCGTCCAGTCTGGGACTCGTCACTTGATGTGCCTGCATTTCCCAGTAAGTGATGGTGTTCCCACTGAAGCTCGAACACAGTGCCCATAGTTTCTAACGCTAAAGCGTTATCCAATAGACCACTTGGGCCACGAGAGCACTTCGGTTCAATCAATCGACAGGAAAATCTAAATTGAATCAAATCATTCCTCTGTGTGGTGTACTGAAGTATAGCAATGCGAAATTATGCGCTTCAGCTCGTGGCCCAGCACTAATCTCTCTCTCTCACTCTGACAATACCAGGTTCAAATTTGTTAAGGATAAGTCAATCTCCACTACTAAGGATTTCTACAGAAAAGCAAGCTGTTAACAGGCGTTCCTGCATCTTCCACATGTATATAAATGATGCCAATCAATAGTGTTTTACAGGGATGTCCACTGCAATTACACTTATTGAATTTCATTATAGACGTGCTAATGGATGCGACCTTTGTTGACTTCTATATTTCAAAGATTTACTTCTTATCAGTGACATGTAAAAATAAATACTACTAGCGCCAAAACTTTTACTAGCAACGTTTTACAGTCAAACAAATACCAAGGCAGAAATAAAGGTGACATACTACACTGTAACCGCTCATACATTTGTGTTCAAACGCAAGTTGTCTAACTTGAGACAGCTCATGACCACACGCAGATGTCTAGGAGTAAATAAGCTTAATACATCTGAAGATGAAAGTTGCCCTAGTTCCTGCCCAACAATATAAATATACAACTGGTGCAACAAACGAGTCAGATTTAGATGTTTTAAATGTATAATAACTTCAACAACGATCGCTGAGAAGTATATTATTAACCACGTAGAGTATTCTAACAAGTAATTATCTAAGAATTCTGTTACACTCGCGACATCACTCGCAATGAATTAGAAGATGCTGTGTTGCTCCCCAAATACTAAATTTTTATTTAGAAATAAACCTCTAGAAGAGCCATAGATCAGAATACATTCTCTATACACACTGGGCCATTAAAATCCAATATTATTTGGATGGTGACGTGTTGGGTACAAAACCATTTACGTGTACACTATTTATCTAAGACCACGACGCAGGACCTAAAGTGTGGAAAATGAGTACTGCTGAGGCATCCCAAACTAACCCAATACAATTCAGTTTCCTTAGTTTTCAATACGTTCTCAGATGATGATGGCGGCTCTTGTAGAAATTTACCCTGAAGTCATACAAATAACTAAACATATTATTCAATTTTCCAACAAGTGAACGATAGGCACCAAGAGGTTATTGCATAAAGCTTAGAAGACTGGTAGCCAGCTGCAGTGGGAATCAAATCATAAAACCCTAACCGCTCAAACTATTCTGGACAATACTTCCTTAGTACTCAAAAATTCTAATGTATACGAAAATAACAACTAATACAATTCACACTTTTAGACAAGAATATCTAACTTTATATTTTTCCACTTACTTTCATGTTTTGACTGAGATACAGTCACACTTTTGTAGAATTTCTTTGTCTGAGCTACATAGAAGTATTATCCAGATTTTATTGTACCTGTAAATAAGTTTCTGCGGGCATGATACAAAATACACCCGGAAACAGATGATACGATTTTCTGATTGAACATTCTCGGTGTAAGACAATTCAACTGAGTGTCAGTGGTAAATTGTCCCCAGAAGAGTGCAATTTATGTGGACAAAGTGGACTACGAGGGTAGACAAACAGGATTAGTTTAAAATAAAACAAAACATTAATGAATAATAGAGGTAGACAAAAAACACATAAGTACATTCTAACAATGGAAGAGGAAGAGCGTTATGTATCCGAATAGCATATTTACTTACCTTTGGATAATGTTGATGTTAGGCATTGAGTGCTAGGTAAGGAGGTGAAATCAATAGGCGAGGCTGTGAAGCTACATCGACTCAGATGGTCAGGACATATGTTACGTACGCCTAGTCATCGCCTTGCTCGACGGGCGATGTCAGCTGACATAGGGTCAAACTGGAAAAGAGCTAGCGGCAGTCAAACCAAAACATGGGACCAGTCAATGGAATCCACAACTGTTAGTTTAAGCCACTTAAGAAGGTGCAGACTTCCTGGTCGGGGTTCTCGGGACAGTAGAATCCAATGGCTGGAAACAATCGGTGATATGGCTCAAAGTCGTTCTCAATGGCGCAGATGCATTCCCTCCTTGTGACTTATAATTTCCAATGAAACTATATTGTTCTTTGTTATTACTTCCTTTTGTCTCATATCCCTGTGTACTGTCACTACTGTGCATTTCTTCTACTTTTTTTTTCTCTTGCTTTGTGTGCTACATGGCGTGGTGACTTGGACTACTGCACATCGGTGCAAAGCTCTAAGTTGAAAACAAACAGACAGATACAACCTACAGGACAAATAAATCAGCCTGGAAGAATCGTTAGTTTTGTAAGATACACCCAATATACATAAATGCTCAACCGTAATTGCAAGCGTGTTTGTGCCAAGAGTAACTGGGTAAGAAATCATAAAAGGATTAACTATCATCATCAATACTACATTCACAGCAACCAGTGATATTCGAAAAAGGAATATGAGGAGGAAAGTAAGTACGTACTTACAGTTTTACTTCATGCAATGCAGTTCAACTTTATATTTTTCATACTTTTTGAACAGATCGTTGGTGGCAGTGATGCTTTAGGGGTCAAATGAATAGGCAGTTGAAATTTTTCCTTTACTTGAGGGAATAATGGCATATCCTTATTAGTAACCCCATTCAATACTATCTTATTATTTTATTTACAACAATGTGCAAGTGAATCAGGTACCAGAATTAGGGTTTTACAATCTTATGAAGATAACCATACACATCCATGCACACTGAATACTGAAAATACCAAGAGTTGTTTTATGGTATTGATTGACTAATCACAATAAACAATTGTTTTATCATCGCCTGTCGTTCTGTTGTCACTTTCTTTGGGGATGTCAAAAGCCTATGCACAATTCTATATAGGTTTGGCTTGTGATCGACGTGACTAACAGATGTCTGGAGATGTTGCAAACTGGTGAAACAGCGAAGTAGGCTTGTTGAAGAAAATCAGTGGGATATTAATGACAAAAGGTCGTCGAACGAAAACAAGTAAAAATAGCGGTATGTACGTGAGAAATTGGTAGGATGTAGAGTGGAACAAGGGAAATAAAAAGGACAGTGAAATTGGTTCCGCGCATTCTTTTCCCTGATTTTGTATCATTTTTCCAGTTCACGTGAACTGGAAAGCAGTCAGTAATGGCTACTTGCTTAGCTGATATTATGTTCTGATATTAATAAGACACTGAGAACTACATTATGGGTATGGAATCACAGTTCTGTAAACATCGCATGTCATAATAAATATGATGTACATCCATTCAACGTTACGCTCTTCGTTTAAACCCTTCAAAAGAATAAGCAAATCTGTTGCATATGAAGAAACGGCTAATTAAGTTGTAATCAACTCAACAAAATCTAAGTACTTACAACAGAAAAACTCGGGTCCCGAGGAACTACACTACCGACGATGACCCTGACAGCCTGTCGACGGACGTAATTTTGAGTGACCGCGAATGAGATAAACAAGCGATTCGCTCGCTTGTGATTGGCCAGTTTGTCATTCGAGTTGAGGTAATTTCAAACATCATTTTGCTGCTTGGTTAAAGTTCTGAATTTTCGTGAGCGTTTTATCAAATTGGAGAGATAACTGACAACACAAATTATTACAGCTTAGGAAAGAAATGATATAGCAGTAGATTTATTTGCTGAATTCAACGAATTCATGCCAAATTACGATCTTAGGACTTCTCAGGAGTGTCAACCCAGCTAGCATTTTCTTCGGGCGCATTGCAGAATTTTTGGGGCAAAAACTTCGGGTAAATCTACTTACGTGGGACACTGTCCCGAAGTCTTCCCCAAAAAGTCTGCAATGCGCCCTAAGTCTGCCCCAAAAAGTCTGCAATTTGCCCAATGTTTGCCCCAAAAATTCTGCAATGCGCCCAAAGTTAGCCAAAAATTCTGCAATTTGCCCGAAGTCTGCCCCAGAAATTCTGCAATGCGCCCGAAAAAAATGCTAGCTGGGAAGAATGCAAACAATGTCTTGAAGAGGTAATAACTTCACGCAACTTCAATTATCGCTTGACCATTATTTTCAGAGATCCTTAAATAAGTATAATATACACAGTGGTCTGGCTAATCATGATAAAAACGGCATGGTTGATGCAGCATATACGTATACTTTTGTATATGTAGGTAAACCTAGATGAACTGTGTTCTTGTCACGAAGATCGGAAAGCAGGTACCAGATGTCTCAGTAAGCAGTGTAATACATGTAAGTTACATGTTTTTATTTGACATAAACTGGATCTCCACTCACTTTCAGAATTAATCTTAAATTCAGTTGGAATAAGCTAGTTGAGCACATCAGTATTGAGAGAATACAGTGAAAGTAAGTAAACACATGCTTCTTAAGATTAAGTGATACATTTATTTGATATGATTGTATTATTATTAGTTGTCTATCTAAGTTAATGATGAATTCGTTGCGATAATAATACCTGTTATTGTTTTTATAGTCACTATGAACATGAACGTTATTATTATTGCTGTCAAGACCTATTATTTGTCATAAAGTTGTTGTCATTTTTGCTAAAATATTTGTACAAGCTTTGGAAACTACTGCATAACTTGTCGTTAAATAATTTTATCATTTCATGATGCTTCGATGGACCTACTAGATATCGACAAACGATAAGTTGCGAAGTCCCTTAAGTTTAGTGAAAACTATTGGGCTACTTATATATATATATATTGTTTGTAAAGTGATTACTTGTAAATGCTTATCAGGAAAATTTTTTTATTCAGATCATACATGTAATACCCAAGTTAATTATGCTTTTCTTAAACCTTTTCAGACTTATGGAAAAACATATATGTACCGTGTACGCAGATGGAACTTACTGACGGTAACAGAGGACTACTCATCTGAATTATCTGTACATTTGAAATCTGATTTTTGTTTAATAAACAATTTTTCAATGAATCTGTCTTCCTTCTGTTGTAATGCGATTGTGTTCCAGTAACATAAGTAGCACGTGCTAAGTTAGAAGTTGAGGGTAAACTGTTAGGAGTAAATGCGGCGTCTGGAAAACTTTTGTTTACGTGATTATATGAGCAGATAGCAACGTATCGTGTTCTTTGGCTGAGAACCCTAGGCATTCTGTTTTTAATTATTACGATAACCGTAGTTGCACTGAGTCATACATCTAACAGCATAGGTATAGTCTCTCCTTATGGTATACTGCGGCATGCAGAAATCACAAGCAAACTATCTCAGGTAGATTTACTCTCACTTTGTGACTATGAATCGCGAATCAGTATATGTATTCTGCTAAGACGATAGATAACTCGAAACGCTTTATAATCGCAATACCTCCTCTACACTTCAGACATATTTACTTTATTTGACTACAACATAATCTTTAACCAATAGGCTTCTCCGAATATCTGCTCCTACTTAGTATTTCAAAGATAGCCTCACATACTCTACACCTCACAGATTACGCAAGGGCTAATATTCGGTCTTATCAAGTAGAATAAACAAACGAATAACAAGGAATACATTTATTAATGAATTAACATGTAATACAAAATCGACAACAGTGCAGGTATCTTTTTCTTTATCACCCAAATCCATGAAATTCCCGAAAGTAGATATTATCTGAAAAAGAACAAAAGAATTATACAGATGTAGACATTGTTATCAGTGTAAACACAATAATTAACCGTTAAATATGTTTGAAATGACGAAATAATTATTTGAATTGTATATAATTACGTCAGTAAACATTTTTCAATAATACAAAATCGATATTGCATCCGCCTGCAAAGGTCCAATTTATGCCATAAAATAAGGAAATACTATGCATATATAATTTCCAAGTATTTCTGCAGATTTTTCTTAAAGAAATACATGTGGAGGAGCCTTGTCAGCATTTAGGCAAAGTACACAACAAAGTAAGTGAAATAATTACCAGAACGAGCTATCCCACCTCATCACGTCCATGTGTAATCCACTAAACTGCAAAATAAATTCACAAAAAGTCATTATAACATGTGTCTTCAAGTAATTAGACATTTTCTGAACGGAAAAATTATGTATTTTCAGCAAACTGTAAACTGTCTGTGACCTACGTCCGGATAAGAGCACCACCATATGCTCTTTCTGCTAAATAGGCCGCATTTCATCAACTTTTAGCAGGAATATAGGTAAAAAAGTGTGAAAAACAACGAAAAATGACCTAACCTTGACATTTTTCCAATAAATAACGCCTATATCCATCAGCTGATCAAATGACCTACGTCCGTCTACAGGCTGCCCGATGACCCTCGACATACCCGTTTTAAAAATGCGGCTACATTCAGAGTATAAGGATGGAAGGCGGGTATTGTTGCCAATGTTAATCCTTGAGATATTTATCTCTGCAGAGGTCTAATTTCTCTTTGAAAGCGTTCACCGATCGAGCTGTTGATACTGAATCAGATAGGAGTTCCAGTCATTGTCCGCTTTGTAATAGAATCTAAATTCCACACGTATTGAATTCGACCTC